TATACAGCTTCTGAGCTAAGGAGCTACACGAGGACCTTTGGGGAATTCCTGGCTGGTGCCTTCATGCACCTCCGGTCGGTACCATATACTGCAGTGATCATGACATATGTTGTAATGACACAATTGTAGACATTGTGCATATGATCGAGTATCCGAGGAACCCTTCATTCCTCAGAACCACGGGCCGGGGATGGCATCTCATATGCTGCGGAAATCCGACTACGAGCTTTTCGTGCAGGAGTGCTTAACGGAGCACAGCATGAATGGACTGGGGGATCTGTGGCCTGATGTTGCTTAATTAGAATTATGTACGGGGTCTCGGCTGCTTCCTGCGTTGTGACCCGATCACAGCTAGGTGCCACTTTTAATTACATCCTAATAAGCCTACTGATCGCCCCATCCGAGGCTGGAGCCGTCGACGTACTTATGTACCTCTCGAAATCCAAATCCCTGGAGCTCCCTGGAAACTGGGTACCCTGGCTTCTGTATATATTAGCATATATCCCCAATATTACCCAATTATAGCTGCAAAAGCATCTCGCTGGGATCCCAGGCCAATGTGCTCCAGATGGTTGGATTGCGTGGCTGAACCTGGGCTTATAGTCTGCTGCTCTTAATTAAAGAGGCTGTGCCGTGTGCTAACCCGGCTGCTTGTGAATTTCTGTGAAACGACCGTGAAAAAACCGCCATTGACCGTGAAAAAACTGTGAAATCTGTGAGTTCACGCATAGCACTTTTCTGCATACACAGGGTGCGAAATCACGCGAATTCATGCCGCTTCACGTTGCTTAAGGCTGCCACAGCTGATGACATGTGAACTTTGATGGGTTTTTTCACGTTTCTTCACGCTTGGGGCTTTGCAGTTTTAGCGATCGTGCGCTGGAGCTATGGGTGGTAAGAAGACGCCGGCGGCAGACTCGCCGGAAGTGGCTGATGTTATGGCTATGCTTCAATCTAAGGGATTGCTGAATAAGCGTGGTGCCGAGCCCGAAGCTGCTGCCGAGCCTGCTAAGAAGCCTAAAGGGCCTAAAGCAAAGTCGCAACCGGTGGCACCCCCAGCAGAGGAGCCTAAGACCCGGGCCCGGAGCAAGCGCAAAGCCGAAGACCCACCCCAGAAGAAGCCCGAAGAGCCCCAAAAGAAACCCGAGGATCCAA